AAGTCTTACTTAACCTAATATTAACCACTTTAACTATACTACTTCTTATTTCATTACCATTATTCTTCCACAGTAGCCAAACATTATCTCAAACGACGCCTTTAATTTGGAGACGGGAGGAAATAATTACAGCCTTGGCTGTTTCTAGCTATAATGGTGAACCACGAAGTAAGAAATTGCCAAGCACGAGCAGACAGCAAAAAAAAAGTGTAACAAAAAATTCCAAAAGTTTCGCCAATCAGGTCACGCGAAAAAATGCTTCCTTTCACGTGGAAGACTTTGACATAGCAGTTCAAGCTTTAGTTGTGCCATGCATGCCAAATGCGCCAAACCACTCTCGCCCTGGTATTGACTAAATTATGATTAAATATTCGGTTGGCGTACTTGAGCATCAGTTCTCCCAGAAATAGCTGCATTTATTTTATGTAGATAAAGCCGGTATCTTGAACGGAAACAGAGAAAAAATGTCGCGTGTCAAGATAGAATTTATATTTCTTTATTTTTTTATTGTTCAAGATAAAGGGGGGGGGGTGAGCATCCATGGAATTTATTTCTTCCAGACAGCCAATAAAATTAAATAATGCTCCATTCAAGAGGGGTTGAGTAAGTTTTATTTGAGAAAGAAAACTTCGAAAAAAGCGATTTAATGTCGCTTCAGGCTTTAAAAAATTATACGATACTTTGAAGCACATATATATAGATATATTCTTTTCAAACTGTTCTTTAAATCGTTTATGAAGCTTTGACAAAAATAGCTTCTATCTCACACTACTCCCTTTTGATGTATACAGGATTTTAGGGGTTTAGAAACCCAGCGTACCCCCAGGAAAAATTCTTTTTGTAAAGATAATCGAAGAAATCTGAACTCGGGAGCAAAAGCTGAATTTGTTTCTTCCCGTTGGCAACAACAATGCCTCAAATTACATTAAAATATGAATACTTGAGTAACTCATAATATATGAGTAATATGTCACACAGCAAGAACTCTATAAAGTTCAAGGATCACGTTACAAGGTGACGAAATACGTGATAATGTTTATATAAATTGATCTAATGAGTGTACAATTGTAATCCTTTTCGTTCATCAAGAAGAAAAGAACAATAAAATATAAAAGATTTTGCTAATTTAAGAATACGTACTTAAAGGAAACATTTCTTATCACCAGCAATATTCATTTCGGCATGTTAATAAAATTATTCTGATTCTGAAACTAATACCACATTTCCTATGGTAATATATTTTATTTTATAACCGTCGTGGAACAACCGACCCAATTTTGGGTTTACGACTACTAATGTTCAACTCCTTAGCCTTGTAATTTTGAACGCCTAAACCATGACCCGTCTACCACTGAGGATATTTTAAGTGAACACTGTAGTCAGTACGAGCCGCGTGCGGATTTCGTATCGACCAGCTATCGCTGGGATTCGAACCCGGTTCACCTCATTAGGAAGCAAACGCTCTATCCCCTGAGCCATTACGGCTCTATGTGTGTTAATATATTAGGTACAACGGTACAACGTATTATCACGACATCGAAAGTACCTATCCACAATTAAGTATCAATCACGTCAAATAATTTGGAGATTTTTACGTTCCTTGAAAACAAAATTTTTGAGTTTAAAATATAAATATGTATACAACTATCATAAATTAAATTATTGTCCCTGCAATCTGAACTGTTAAATTTTCTGCAAATTCGATTTGCATGCTTGCAAAAGAAAAAGAGTGCATAAGGTGAGGTAGTAAGTGCCAATCATTAGGATAAAACTGTTAATTTTTATATATTTATTTTCAAACCAAGACTGAACTAGATCAGTTTCTTAAATATAACCTTTAAAGCTGCTTCACTATATTTAAACAGACAGTCACATATCCTCTACGTGGCCAGAGCAAAGGATTTTAAATTATTAGCCTGTAAATTTGCCAAAAATCAGAAGTATTCGCCAAATGCAAATCTCAAAAAAAATTTATGATTATTTTTTTTACTGTAGAAAACTATTTTACTGCAGTTCGTTTCAGGCTTATATTATTTGGACTCAATTCTAATTGGTTATGTGGCACATCTACCGAAAATTACTCTAATCGAATCAAAATATTATTTGTTTAGAAAAATGCCTTTTGGCATAATATTGAAGAACGAGTTAAATGTATATTTTTCTTTCCAGTGGAAAAATCATTTGGCAATACTTTTGCCAAAACACAATTTCATTCGCTAAATGTACGATTTTATCGCATTTGGCGAGGGGACAAATGTTCAGCGCGTGCCTTGCCTCTGTGTAAACCGTGGTTGAAACGTCTTCCACACTTAGTCCTTACTTCTGGTAATATCTGGACGATGCTAATGTACGAAAGGTTATACTCGCTTTAAAATAGGATTTATCACGTTTAAAAATTATTAGTGTCTTTCAATTTAGCTTTTAATAAATCCCAATTATATTTAAAATCTGAACTACTAATATTTTTATAAGTTAGACATATTTTTTTAACTTAGATCTTAGCTTTTATCTCTATTATAACCATACAATCAATGAAAACATTTAACACTAAATAGATTGAGCATTGATGTATACCTAGAAGACCTGAAGGGGCCAGTTTCACCATTACCATATTATTTGTGTGTAAATCAATTAGACATCCAAAAATATAATAATAAATAATTTAATAGGAACACATACACATTATAGACTTGATCATCGGAATTTCAGTGGTATTTTATTCGATTTGATTAACTAAAATATTTGATTAAATGGAACACGAGCCTTTCAATTATTCGTGTGTTGTGAATTTCTGCTTGGCCAACAGAGGGTGCTGTAATCATTCACAATAATTCTGATTTTGTATCACTTGTGTGGCAGGTAACGGATTGGTAAGGAAGGCTTATTAGGAAGCCTAACAAGTATCACACTATCATATTGTTTGTTTAGGTAATTAGATAGTTAGTTTCTTAAATAACTAAGTTTATTTTTTTCTATAAATAATAATAATAGGTATGTTGAAGCTTTCAATTTTGTTTAATGAAAGTAGGATAAACTTGTATATTCCAAAGGGTACCTTATACTCAAAACTGCCTAGAATTATGGGATACCGATCAAAAGGCATCAAAGGCCATTCGGGCCCCTTTCGTCATTCTAGGGATAAAGGTCTATATATACGTTTCTATAAGACTAACAGATGAATGCTTAAATCAGCACTAAATTGGATCAGATTCAACACTTTCAGTAAATTATGTTTCGAATAACAAACCAACAAAAAGGAGAGGACAGCCTTTTGGTGTAAAAATTTGAAACAAACGTTGCTTTTATTTAAAAACAATTATTACATTTTGTTGAATGATCTCAAAGGCATTTTACCATTACTTACAACCACAAAATCCAATTTCTGAAGACAAAGCTGCTAATGATGCTTCATATCTAATTTTATTTTGGCCTAGAACACCATTCGTATGAAACAAATGACAGATTGTTTTTTTTTTCCTTTCAAAAGTCTCTCTACATGGAATAAAAGCAACATTATTTACAACCCACTAACTTTACAAGTACCAACTAAGATAAATTCCTCAATATGTTTCATCTTATTCTTTTGTTTGCCATGGCAACTAGAACACGTTTCTTAATGTCGAAATATAAACGATTAACTTACTTTTTGTTCTGTTAATAGCATCCCTTAAATCACTAGAACTGATATGTTCACTGTTAGATTAAATTCAGATCATGAGTAAGCCTGTATACATATGGTTAGCGAATCAAGTATGGCCTTGGGCAAACAAACATAATAGTCTTTGAATCTTAACTTCTGATACCTACCATGCATTAGTTGTAAATGTCAAACATCAATATGATATGACTTATAAGTGGGATAAATTATTAATAATTGCGATAGTACTTAGAAAGGTCAAGAAATATCGTACTATTATCCTTATTTTAACTCTAGAAGGACGATCAAGGAATTAATTACTGTTATATTTATTTGGTTTATTTTAAAATAACTCTGGAAATGTTTTTAAAAATCTCAGAATTTTCATCTTTACAAGATGATATTAGTAAATGTATAAAGAAATGTAGTCTGAAATATTCGCTCGAGTAATGAAAAGCTCTATACAATGCATGGGCATTGTTGACGGGAGAGAGGTTTATGCCCCTCAATAATTAAAAATCTCTATAAGACCCCTTCAATGTTTCAGATCAATAAGGAAAACTTTCTTGAATTATTAACGATTTTAAATTCCTTAAAGTTAAAAAACAAGAAAGAGATAAAAATAATTCATCTTTTTACAGATATTTACCACATTTAAGAATTCTTTTGTTATGTGTAATTAAGAGAACTATTATGATTTGCATGTGACTCAAAAATTGGGCTTCTGCACCTCCCATGTGATATAGTTAAATAGATTTCGATAGAAGTTGTTTTAAATAGTATAATAAGTTAACCCTTAGCTTGCTTAAGTTTAATTAAGTCCTATTACGTAAGATTGAGTATGATATGGTCCATCAGGTTTATTTTGGTATGATGCAATCTCAAAGATTTGCTTAGGCTGGATAGCTTAAAAAAGTTTCAAGGAAAGTAAAAATAAAAAAAAGTTCCCTTTAGGTTCAAATGATGCATTTAAACAACGGCTTTTAATGAAAAATCCAAAAAACACAATCAACTGTCAAGGACAATCTGTAAAGTTAATATAAATTTTTCATTTATATTTCATTGAAAGCGTTATACCACGACAAACAAACCGATCGAAAAGTATCAAACGGAAATGAAGGTTGGTTGGAATTAACTTTTCATACCTAAAGGACCATTTTCACTGCATCCTTATTTCCTTCTGCGTGTGGGTGATTGTTTTATAACTACGTGTAAAATAAAAGCTCCTCTCTCAAGAAAGATTTTATAAGCCAGCGATCTCATGAATGAATCTGTTGCAAAAATAATGCGTGTTTACATTTAAAAAAAAAGTCAAACCTCTTTGTCAAATGTAGAAGAAAATCATATGAACCATGTGACTTACCTTCGACCACAACATCCGTGAAATTTCCATGCAAGCTGGCTTTGCTGTCTTCAACATCGACATTGAAAGGTTTCTTTGGTACGAAAGGATCCAGAACTGGGACCTTCAAGTCTGATATTCCTGTGAGCATATCTTCTCTGAAATTCTCAATAACTCCGATGAGAAATTCATTTATATCGATCTTCTTGGAAGATGCCGCCAAGAGAGGAGAAGGTTTCCCGTGTTTCCTACCAACATCCTTGTGCCAGCCATCCCTTCTGAACTCAACTGTAAAATGAAAATCATTTAATTGTTACGTGAGGAATTTAATTTTAGAAGCCCTTCACTAGATACTGAGCTGAAATCAAGCAATAACGTGTATATGTTACCGGTATTCTACAGAATGCCTGGGGATTGCATAGAATGCCTGAAACTAGTTAGCAATGCATGAAAAGATTCATATTTCACATATTTCCTAGGCATTCTATTGAATGCCAAGTGATATCCGGGAAAGTATGAAAGAGTTATCAGATTCTTTAATAAATAATCCCAAGAAACTGAAGAGGTAAGATATTACCTTGATTAAAAAGCTTCATTCGCTTCAAAGATATACAAATTGGAAAGAACGATCAACATGTTTCAAGCGATCCAAAACAGGCACCCATTTTCAAAACTTGTCAGAAGTAAATTAAAAGAAATTAAGCGACAATGGTTATAAATAAAGTGATTTGAAATGTAAACTGTAACGAAAAATGGAAAAATAAAGGTGAGAAGCAAAACTAGAAAAACCACGGTAGCCGAGAGAGAAAAAGAGGGAAAAAATGAACAAGAAAAACCATAGTGGTGGAAAGGAGTCCCTGATTTGTCTCACTTTTATTTTTCCATTTCTTCGTTGACAACTTTACACTTTATGTTTCAAATCAATTTTAAAGTCTTGAAAATGGGCGTCTGATTTGGAGCACTTGAAACATGTCAACTGATATTTCCAATTTGTATATTTTTGAAGCAAGTGAAGCTTTTAATCAAGTTATATCTCCGATTCATTTCAAATATAATGAAATGCAATTCATATTGTCATTCAATAATAGGTAAATAATCAATTTCTAATTTTTATATGAAACTTTTCCTTCCTTTAACAAGAAAGCAATAAATTTTTCTTTGTACAACTTTCATTTTCTTTGTGTATTTTAATTAAATTTGTTTAATGGCAATCTCATTATTTTTTCAGAATAACATTTCCGTTTTTGAGGAATGCACAGAGGGACCGAAAATGAATTACATAGCGTTTGTGAACGTCTTCGACCAAAAAATGTAGCAATAAATTTTTAACTTGTCGCAATTATTTTGATTTTTGTAAGCAATAATTGCACAAAACTGCGCAAGCTTAAATATTAATGGAAATATGGACATTTTTCATTTAAAAAAAACTAACTTTTTTGTCTTACATTTTTTTTGCTGTAACTTTAAAAATGTTCAATAGCATTAAACAAAATATTTAGGACAATTTATTATAATTTTTTTAATAAAATTTGAAAAACATTCGTCCAAAACTGTGCAATATATAAATAATTAAAGTAGTTCTTTTATACTGCTCAAAAAAAATTTAATTTTTTTTTTCATAATTTCTTAGAGAATCTTATTTGGCAACTAATGAAAAAAGTCCGATTTGAATATCTAAAAAAAATGAAAAAGTTTCAAGCAATTTTCTTATATAGTTTTTGCACTTTTAAAAACAAAACTCAGAATAATAAGTGGTTTTCTACAAATATAAATTTGTATCATAAAATAAAATTAAATAACAAATGATAATACTTTACAATAAATATTCATACACCAAAATATGATTGTATAATGAAAAAAGACATGCAAAAGAAAAGACTCGTTTATAGGGAATGAGCCCCAATAATGGCATTGTCACCTTCAATAAATCTTTTTTAATAGTAAAAAAACAAAATTAGTGGAAAACTCCTGATTATTTTGAGCTTTTCTTTAAAAAGTACAAAAACAATTTAGAAAATTGCTTGAAGCTTTTTATGTTTTTTTAGATATTCAAATCGGTTTTTTGTTTCATTTGTTGCCAAATACAATTCACTACAGAATTAAGGAAAAACAATTTAAAATTTTTCCCATACATGAGCAGTTAAAAAGAATTATTTTAATTACATTTGCAACAAATTTTTCTCACATTTTAAAGCAATAATTTTGTCATTAATTCTAAATTGATCCAAAAATTCTGTTTAATTTTATTGAATACTTTTAAAGTTATAGCAAAAAAACGTAAAACAAAATGAAGAATTGGATAAATGGCCTTATCTCTATAAATATTTAAGATAGGTTTACGAAATTTTTTAAAATTACTACATTTATATGTAATAATGGCAACCAAAATAATTGCTGCAAGTTAGAAATGTATTGCTACATTTGTCACCATAGGGTGTTCAAAAACACTATTTTCCGTTTGCAATTTATTTCCATTCCCTCAAACATCGAAAAGATTTAAACTGAATTGATAAATATATGAGAAATTGCATGATCAAAAACACTATTTTTCGTTTGTAATTTATTTCCATTCCCTCAAACATCGAAAAGATTTAAACTGAATTGATAAATATGAGAAATTGCATGATCTAATCACTTGCATGATCAAAAACACTATTTTTCGTTTGTAATTTATTTCCATTCCGTCAAACATCGAAAAGATTTAAACTGAATTGATAAATATGAGAAATTGCATGATCTAATCACTTGCATGATCAAAAACACTATTTTTCGTTTATAATTTATTTCCATTCCCTCAAACATCGAAAAGATTTATACTGAATTGATAAATATGAGAAATTGCATGATCTAATCACCTCAGAAGTCATATAATTATTCTTTAAGCATTTCTTGAGAAATGGGAAAAAATTTATTAGTATAGAAGTGTTTCCATTATTTTACTTACTCCCTGTTTGTTTTTAACTATAACGAGTTTTCTAATTATAGTTATAGTAATTAAGGCAGTGATTACTGTTTAGTGCACGTGACAGGAAAAATAGAAGTTCTTAATGGGTAAAACATTCAGAAATCCCGCTTTTACCTCCTTGAAAAACATCCATATACCCTGAATGAAGAATAACATTAACTAAGCTCTTGGGTTGTCTCTCTAGTCTCAAGAATCATTAATTTCTGGGCTTGGCTCATTAATATTTTTTATTAAATTACTTTCCTCCAAAGTTTTTAAAAAACGCTGGAGTTACAGAAAATGAAACAATAAGTAAAATATTTGTATAAATATGGGTTTTAAATAATAGATTCAGTCTCCGGAATGGAGCTGTGAGTCATAATATTCTTAAAAATAAACATCAGAAGTAAAAAAATAAATAAATAAAAGCTATCAAGCGACAGGAGCAGAATATTTTTACCATTTTAATATTTAAAGTTGAACTTCAACACTAAACATAATAAGTTCCCCAGGTTAATTGAACTCATGAATTATTTTAATTATTTTTTCCATTTTCATAATTTTTTTTAATTAATTAATATTTTAATACAAATTATTGTAATATAAATTATTTTATTCTAATTCATAATTTGTTATAATTATTTTTTATAAGAACATACATATTCCGTAGAAGTTATAAATTATGCGGAACGAAAAAATTATAAATGAACAACTATAGTGCTCTACTTTTTTATAGTTATTTAGAGTTTTAAAAAAAAATGTTTTAAAATTATATTTTAGACTGAAATTTTTAGAAAAAAGAATGCTTTCAATTTTCTAACCTGAGCATAATCCATCAAACAAAATAAGGAAAAGTAAAATTTCATTCTAAAAATCGAATTTTCCATGAAAGGGCTTTCTGTTTCGATGAACACGTTCTAGTTCCCATAAAAGTATTTTTCTGAACCAATTTTTAAAAAAAGAAAAAATTATAATAAATTGAAATCGAAATAAATTCAGTAAAAAGTGGTTTACCGCCACTTTCTTCGAATGCAAAGTGAAGTTCATTTTTATCGTTTTCTTCTTCTCTCTCCAAATATGAACCTCTTGAGAAAAAAAGAGGGGGGGATTTTTGGTCGTCACCCTTTTTCCCGAATCAACGAAAAGCTACTTCGCAAAGACTTATGGGTATTTAATAAATGGATATCCACAGAAGTGTCCGAAAAGATTTATGGTCAACCCTACTCGATGTGCCACGAAGGAAATTCGTGGTTGGACTCATCATTCAAACTAAGTACTATCACGAACAATATATGAAAAAAAGGCCGGAAAACAGAATAAAAAGGAAAAATTCTAGAACATTCGTATAATCTGCTTAGCTTGTCTGGGATGTTTAGAATAAAAAAATGAAATAATGAAAATAGAATGTTCGTGGTTTTTGGTTAAGCTAAATATTGTTTTATTTTCATAGAACAAATTTATAAATCCCATTCTTCGAAAGTTACAACCGATTTAGTTGAAAAATGCGTTCAGTAAGAACATACACTGTCCATTTTCAAAAATTCTTCCGGAAAATATAAAATTCAGGTAAAAACATTCAAGAAAAACATGTATAGCGTCCTTTTATATTATTTGGAATATTTCGATAGTGTAAGATTGATTTATTTCAGTGACATAATTCAAGCGATTATGTTGAACCTTAAAACTTAGTTTTGCAGTTCGTTTAAAAATCCTTTTTTAATTTAAAAAGAAATGTCAGATTTAACGATGTTAGATTTCGAGTTATTTTTGACTCATTGAAGCATTTTACGTACTTAAAATTAGCGTTAACGATTAAAAACAAAATAGACTTTTTCACAAAGGCTATTTAAATGGATTTTAATGTACTATATTGAGAGAAATCTTATTATAGAACTTTCCTAATCCATTTAAATAAGAGAAATGAACTAATATAAAGAGTAATATTAATTCTATCCATTATATAGGTATGGTAATCCGTAATCACTTGGTAACCCTCGTATAAAGTAAGAGTGGTTATTAAAGAATATCCTGAATTTGAAGACTTTATTGAGAGACAGCGATAACATGCAAAAAGATAAATTAAATGAAGAAGATGGAAAACTGAGCAATTTTTCCCTGGTCACGAAACATGAAAATTTTCCAAATTATTGATTATCTGGTTCAATTCTTTAAATTTAAAAATATAATGTTCTTTTTAGTTTGTTTTCAAAAACTTCTTTTACAAATAACTTCTCGGCAAGGAAACAAACATCTTCATCAAACAGTTAACAGTTTTTATGACGTTTTTGGTATTGATAAAAAATGAAAATATAGCTGTCATAATTTTTAAAATCTAATTATTTTGCGAAATATACATTATAATTTAACAATATTTTTTCTTATAATAGGTACTTTGAATTAAAATAAATTTTAAAAGTAAGCTATTACTAAATAATAGTAAGCTTATAATAGTATAAGCTTCTACTATATTGGACAATATTTGGTAAATTTTTATCCCTTAAATAATATTTTAAGTTTTTATTTTTCCTGTTTATATACCTTTACTAAATGATTGCCTTTAAAAATAATTTTATTGCGTTTAATGACAATGAAAAATTAGAAGAAGGGTAAAAAATTCGATTCAAGTACGATACGGTGCAAGAAAAAACTTTGAACCCAATAAACAAAACGATCCAATTTTTAGGCCAGTTTTATGGCAAATAAAGAGCGATAATAATTAATGTCTCAGGACGAAGATGCTTATTTCCCTTTTTATGTATTTTGATTTCTCCATGAAACATGCATAAAAACTTAATTTTTTAAAACTGTTCAACTCATTCCCTTCAATATTTCGATTTTTCTTTTCATTTAAATTCATGCAATTTAAATTGCATAAAAATTTGTATACCTTTCAACTCCAGAAAAATGCCACCCTTTTTAAAATAATTTTAATAATAAATAATTTTAATTAAAAAAATTTGGGGATAATTCATTTTGAAATTGGGAGTAAAAAGTTTGTGATTCGCGTTCTCGAGATATGAAAAATATGCAAAACGAGAGAAATCAACGTTAGGGAATACTATTTTTTCCCGCTACCTTTAGGATTAGGATTTTCGTTTGACCATAAATTCTATTGGGATCATATATTCCAGAATTAAAATCTGTTGAGATAAAGGTGGGTTTACTCAGGGAAAGTGCGTATTTTTGTTACTCAAAACATCGTATACACTAATTAATTGTCATACTAAGGGGGTCAGGGAACTAGTCTTGCATCAGAAAGGTTCTGCGTTCGAACCCCGGTCAAGGCATGGATGTTCTGAATTCTTTGCACAATCTGTCCTTACTGTGGGAGCAACGCTGGCTCACGTAATATGGTGCCCTGAAAAAGTGGCCAACAAACCTGCCCTTCAGATTCCTGTATGACGAAAGGTCATTCTCCAGGTGGGCATTAGGGAAAAAATATTGTTAAGGCCCACAAAGTTCTAGTACGTGAAAATCCGATCATTGAATTGCTATTAAATTGCATCGCTTCACTGACTCTGTTCATTTATTCAAACACTTGTAAAAACTGAAATTAAAAAAAAACTGAGCTTATTATTAAGTGAGAAAAAGTTGAAAACTCTCACACTTTAAACAATAAAAAAAAAAAGAATTAAAATCATCAGCAGCAAAAAAAAAATTTTTTAACCACCGTTATCCGTTTAGAATACCTTGTTAATAACCGGCTTAAAGCTTTTTCTTTAAATATAGAGATAAACTGATTTTAGATTATTTTTATTCCTTCTTTGCTCTTATTGACTTCAATAACTATTTGTCCGCATTTCCTATCTCTATATAATTTGTGACCCCAAATATGCATACTTTTATTAACTCATATTTCATAAATATTTATGCATTAATATAGGTTTTTACAAAGCATCCTGCATATCCGTCTGAGATTCGAGTTTAAGAAATGACTGAAAATGCAATTTTTACATAATAAGTAACTTAGCAGAAAGTTAACTCATAAATGCAATAAAATATTTTTTAAATACGTTCAATTAACTTAGCTTAATTAACTTTCTAAAATTAGTTTTACTTATTATACAAAAAAAATTAAATATCAATTTTTAGTTGTTGTTTTTTTTTGTGCATATTGTTGGATATTTTTCGAGTGTATTCCTTCACATTTTGATCATGAAACTAAATAAACTAGACTCAAATAATAAGGTGTATGCCATAAAGGGTCGTGAACCAAATTTCTTACCTTTCTTATAATTTATCATTGTAATTAAAATCATATTTTTGCGTAGATAAGCACTTCGTAAATATATACAAACTTTAAAACAGATTAAAAAATTTGAAAGAAAAAAGTGTAAATGAACTTACGCCTTGAGGGATAGTTGGCACTAAAAGTTATAAGAAACACACCAGTAATAAGTGTAGTGAAAATTATTGTCTTTCCTTCCATTGTGAGTTTTTATATTTCCTTTGGGTATCCAATTCTGAAAGATAAAAAAGAAAACCTGATATCGTATATTTAACCAAAATAGAGTAAGAACCAAAGAAAAATAGTAGCAATTGTTAAACCATTTAAAAAAAGTAAATTTTTGACAAAATATTGTATTCAAATATCAGAAAGTTTCTTTTAATTGATTATATATGGTACCATTTACTATTAAGTAAAATTTTCCCGTATCACCGTTAACAGTAAGGAAAAAATTACCTAATAAGGTATGCGTTTTAGGTTTGAGTTTCTATTTTGCTTTTGTTAAGTGGAAATTTTCTTAAGTCTTGTTTTTGTTTAAAAAAATCGTACAAGTGACTTGAAAATAAATAATATACTCAAATCCAGGGTCTCAAAATCTTTAAAAAATTAAAAAAGTTTTGTTCAATGCAAAAGTTTATGTAACATTTGCTGCCATTTTCTATTGAGTAAATTAAGCATAACGTTCTCTTATACACTTTAAGGCAAAATATTACCTTATTCGGTATGCATTTTAGAGTAAAGTTCTCTTGGATTTTCTTAAAGTGTTACCAGTAAGAAAATCTTACAAGCGACCCCCCTGAAAGAATAATATGATCAAATTCAGAGTCTTGAAATTAAAAGAAAATGCTTTGTTTGATACCAAGGTATTACGTAACATTTGGTGTCATTTACTATTGACTAAAAATTTCTCTTATACAAATAACTATAAACACTAAAGCAAAATTTTAGCATCTTCATGCATTTTAGGGTTAAGTTTGTGTTTAATTTTTCTAAAATGTGAACAGCGGAGTTTATTTAAATAAAAAAACTGTGGGAAGACACTTTCCTTAGAATTTTAAACATAAATTTTAAATAAATGCATATAATTCCTTAACTTTTTTTACTTTAGAGCACCGTGAATCATATTTCTACAATTTCAGTCAAACAATAAAGAACATTATAGTCATTCACGAAATTCCATTGTTCTAAAGAATATTCCAGTCACTAAGAAACGTGATAAAATCGGTATGCAAGCGTAAGCGCAATAGCAACCATAAACCCTATGCACCTTAAAAAGTAGGGTAAAATTATATTATTGCGTATGCATATTAGGGTTAAGTTTTTATTTTGTTTCTATACATTTTGATCAATTAAAAAAAATCTTACAAGAGGCCCCGAAATAACTAATATACTCAAATCCAGGGTCTCGAAAGCCAAAAAAAAAAGTTTTGTTTGATACCCAGATTTTACATAACATTTTGGTGCCATTTAATGCTGAATAAAAATTTTCCTTATACACCACAAAAAGAAAAGCAAAATTTTAGCATGTTCATGCATCTTAGGGTTAAGTTGTTTTCTTCACTAAGAATGCGGCTTTAATTTTTTTTCCCGGAACTTTTTAGAATTCGAAACTTTTCATTACGACTTTTATTTTCTTCTTTTAAATTTTAAAAAAAAATGTTACTTAAGAAATTCTCTTTTTTGAAAGAAGCATTCTCTTCTGGCGCCTTCTTTAGAATATTAAATATAAATTTTAAATGAATGCATATGATTTCGAAACTTAATTTACTTTCGAGCACGGCATATCATGTTTCCACATTTTAAGCCAAACAGTAAAGAACATTATTACAGTCGCTTACGAAATTCCATTGTTCTAAAGAATATTCCAGTCACTAAGTAACGCAATAAGAACTTTTTTACCACTTAAAAGCCTTGAAAGGCTTCGTAATTTAGTAGTGTGCATTAAAATTGAAATAAACGTCGCAGAAAGTTGTATTTTCAAAATATTCCTTTTTATATATAACGTTAAATGAGAGGAAAAAGCTCTAAAAATATTCACATAAGACATTAGTTTTACGTGTTCAAGTGAATAATTTATTTTTCACCACTAATTAATTTGAGATTTGAAAGCTGTTTTTATGCTTGTTAAAAGGAAAAAAGCAAAAAAAATTTTAAAAAATTTTCAATTGTTGAAAAAAATTCTGCAAGGAAAAAGCTGAAATGTGAAAAATTTCGCTGAGAAAAACTCATCTTTATGCAATTAAGTGCTCCCAGATTCTGAAATATTCTACTGACCTATCCTTTTATTTATTGTTCTATTTCTTATTTATTTAAATTTTTTTTTTTTGGTTATAAGGGAAAAATTGACCCTTGAAAGGTTTTTTTTATTTAATTTTTAAATCTAGTAACTTAATTTTTCGTGTCAACTTTGTATAAAAAGAGACACTTGGTGTTGCCAGTGTCAAATAAAAAAATACTGAGAAATTAAGGAGATTTTAATTTAAATACATTTATAATTACAACAAATAACGAAAAATTCCTCTACGCCAGTATTCGATAAAACACTTCCTTTTTTAAGGATATTGTGCTCTCGAACAAAGTCAAATAGGCCGGAACAATTTTTTTCTTTGACACGAACGGAATAAGCGGGATAATGATAAAAAAAAATATTTTTTTACGAAGGAAAAACGCTAATACACTTAAACATAATGAGTAAAATATTATTCTGAATTTTATGTATCTTTAAAGCCGATCGATATAAGTGAAAAGTTTTATTCAGTAATGTTTGTAGAAGAAAATTTAACCTTGAAGCAGCATAAAATCTAAAGAAAGCCAGTAGTTGTAAAGTTCGAACTGAATGAATTGAGCGGCTCATATATTTAGAAGGGTTGATAATTTCCCATCATTTTTATAAGCCGCCAACTAGCAAAAAAGTTAAACCTAGACTGATTAGGATGGAGCTAGTGGAGTAGTCACATTGTACAAGTGTCAAAAATATAATGCAGTTGAATAGAATTCAGAAGAAGGCACTGGCTTACACTGTGCTGTCTACACAGTAAAAAAATTCCGGATCAAATTACGTTATAAAGTACCGGCACTTTGAGTGCGTCAATATCTATTTTTACTATAAAATATTAAACCGTAATTTTTACAGTGATATTTTTTTAATTAGAGTGATTAATTGATTTTTACTGATTCAGTGATTTTTTATGGCATATCAGATTTTTTGTTCCGTAACATATTCCAGTAAAAATAGATTTTACGGTAAAAAGTACTGGCACCTTAACTGTCGGTACTTTTTAACGTAATTTGATCCAAATTTTTTTACGGTGTAATTAAATATGATGATGATGATGAATACAGTAAGATTAGAATGGTCATTTGACGTGATAGTTGAGAGCAAATATATACGACCAGAAACGGTGAAAAAGCTTTGGTGGCTGAAAGTAAACATAATAAGACTACAGAGGTTATAATCAAAGAATTCTTAAGAATAAATTAAAAAGCATTAAAGGAAGCAAAAAAAGAATTAACACGAAGTTTCAGAAGGCAAGGAACGAGGACTTTTATTTCAACCTATGGGGAAATTAAACAACAAACATTTCAGCAACTTAAAACTGTATGAGCATTATTAATTAGAACAGTTGAGCAAGAACAATAAAAGAACAGCTAATAAGAACATTCAGCATATTTTCGTATTTTTCATATTTTCGTCGAAGTTATGCTAAATACTATATGCTAAATCGAAGAAATCGAAGTCTCTAGGTTAAAAAAAGTAAATAGGTTTTTGATCTTATGAAAATTATTTAGACAGATCATTTGTGACCTTTTTATTCTGGGCACAGCTCAAAATTCGCGTTTAAGAAAATTAAAATAGTTTCAAGATGCGTGTTTAAGAAAATGGACTCAGCTCAAAATAAGTATTTAAAACAACGGACACAGCTCAAAATAAGTATTTAAGACAACGGAGACAGCTCAAAATAAGTATTTAAGACAAAGGACACAGCTCAAAATGAGTATTTAAAAAAAATAAACATGTCTCAAAATGCGTATTTTAGAAAATGGACAGATAGCTATCTAACCCTTCAAGACATGTTGCAATTAGAAAGTCTTTATTTTTTCTTGTATAAATAGCTTAAAATGTAAAAAGTTCTAGGAAAGTTATTTTGGTATGAATATTATTCTAAGAAATCCAACATAATCCACGCATATAAGATTATTAAATTCAAGACTCAATTTGATGTATGTAATGGATATTTGCATTAAAATGGTTGTTTTTAAAGAAGAAAATTTTTACTCTGTTTAAACTTGTTTTAAAATGTAACTATGCACATGTTGAGTTAATATCTAATCCGTTCAATCGTGCAGGCTATGTCTTAAAGGGTTAAAAGGCTGGAATAGAAGCAGCATATCGAAGAGAAGAGAAAGAATGGAAATAGTACATTGTACAAGTACATTGTACATATAAGAACATTAATACCATGTACTGATAAGTACATTAAAAGTACATTTTATAACAAAGTTGTGTGTTCACAACAGCAATTTAATATCTTCGCTTACCTATCTGACGGATATATTAAATGCAATTTTTGAATGCATCACATTGTGCATGAAGCGGATCGTTAAATTCTAAATCATTTAACGAATATCTTTAATTGAAATTTATAATAGTATATTAATGTAATTTGAACCAAACAATAATGATTGTAAGTTGGTCACTAAGTTTAGGAAATAATTGAAATAAATTTATCATAAATGCAACGTAGATATACGGGACAATAAAGAATAACAATTCTCTTCATTTAAACTCTTAATTTAGTAAACAATCAAAATCACAAACGTAATAGTAAACAGTACACTGCTGTGCAAATTAAAAAACGACATAAACGCCTCACAGTAGGTTACGAGAAAAATGGCTTGACAACTATTTTCTTTCTATTGCTAATGCTTTGAAAGCTAAAATAGAATTTCAAAAAACTGGTAAAACAAAATTTAATTTTGAAAAAAAATTTCTTCGTTCTTGTTGACGTATACCTGTTTAGGCAGAGGGGGTGCGACTGCTTTTGTTTTCCAGTGGCGCCATCTAAGGCCAAGAATTCGACTTCTGCCATACCCATACGTCACACCCATACGAATGAATGGATGTATGATAGGGCGAACCTATTCATTCATCCACAGATCTTAATTTTGACCTGAATCAGAGAACGATCGATCTCTCGTCCAGTACCCCCAGAGGTATTGATTTGATATGGGAAC